GCCTCCGGACCCTGCGCCCCCAGCCGGGCACTTCCCCTCCCGGGCTCCAGCTGCTCTGCTCTTCCCCTGACTCTTCGGCGTCTGTTTAAGAGCCGACGCTGCCCTAGCGCTCTGGCTTCGGGCAGCTCGGCTTTTAAACAGAGCCGAAGAGTCAGGGGAGGAGCACAGCAGCTGGAAGGAAGTGCCCGGCCGATATTTTTCACTGACATGTTCGGCTTTTTGTCAGTTCCCCCCGGTGGGGGTTTGATTACCAAAAAGCCGGACATGTCCGGGAAAAACCAGACATATGGTAACCCTATGCTAGTGGTAACCAAGAGTGGTGGAAGCCAGAGCATGAGAGTGTTGGCAGGCTGCAGTTATACACAGACACTTGGATATGATCTGCTTGCTGTTTAGCTGTTTGTGAGGGGCCCAGGCTGGGAGTAAGAACAGCAAAGCATTATGAGGCACCCAAGGTTGCAGGGCAGGTGACGACACAGCCCCTCAGTGGTCTGGATTGCACCCCACACTGTCATAATCCCACTCTTTGAAGTATTTATCCTTACAACATCCTTGTGAGGAAGGGAAGTGCTATTTCTATGCATTTCACAGATGGAGAACTGAGGCACAGAGGGTATGTCTACAGTGCAATTGGGAATGAGACTTCCAGCCCAGGTAGACAGACTCAGGCTAATGGAGTCATAGTATGAGCTAGTATGTTATGGCAGTGGGGACATTGTGGCTCCTGTGGAGACTCAGGCTAGCCACCAAGCTCAGACTCAGGGGGCTGGGTGGGGTTCAGAGCCCAAGCTTCCACCCCAGCTTCAGTGCTGCTATGTAGCAATAGGGAACAGTGTGGGGAAAGGCAGGAGTAGGAAAGAGAAAACAAAGGGATCAAGAAGGTGAGGAGACCAATGAAGTCAGTGGGTTGAGATAGTGAATAAATAGGCAATGAAATGAAAATGCTGGCAGAGCTGGGCAGCACCAAAGAGCTTGAATTTCATGCAGAATATAGGAAGCCAGTGCCCTTAAGAGACATGAGATATATGAGGCTTGAGCAATATGGTCTTATGGCAGGAGCAAAAGTATTTAAGTGCTGAATGGTGAGTAGACTGAGGGGGGAAGTCAGGGAATCTGAACAGAAAGAGGTTACAGGAATCTAGGTGAGAAAAGAATGGCACAAACAAAATTTTGACAATGGATGGAAATAAAGGGTTGGGGTTTTTTTAAAGTGCATAGAGAGGGAGAAGCAACAAGACTTGGTGATAGCCTGGGTCTGAGTAAGAGAGAGGTCAAAGCAACCCTTGAGTGACATGAAGGGCAGGCAAGTATAAACTGCTCCCCAGAGGAATAAGCTTGTGCCTTTGGACACATTGGACAAGATCCTACTCATTTACGCCGCTGTACAGCCAGGGTAACTTCATTGTCTGCAGAGAAGCTGCATTAGATTTACAATGGTGTAACTTTGGACTAATGGGTATTTTGTGATTAATCTCCATTTTAACCACATGATTTATTTCCAAACATGAGCTATGTTAGTCCGTAGACTTCTGTTATGTTAAAAAAAAAAAAAAAAAAA